CCCCCCCCCCCCCCCCCCCACTCACTAACGCATGCGAATGATGGTGCGACAGGTGCCTGCTACACTGCAGATGTCACCCCCCCCTTGGCCTGGGGTTCCAGCTGTGTCTCTGCTCTGCTCGCCTTGCTGCAGAGCTGCCCAGCTCTTGCCGCAGACATAGAGAGGCCGTTGTTTGTAAACTGCTCCGGAATGTTCTGGGTCCCAAGATTTAATTACACGACTGGGCCCATTTAACTGGGCTGCTGCCAGCCTGGCTGTCCGACCCTTCCCAAACTGTGTGCCATGGTGGGGGTGGTGGGGGGGGGGTGTTCGGGGAGAGGATGCGGGTTATGTGCAACCTCATCGTTCCTTTGATAATGGGCTTGGGATGGGGAGGGGCTTGGGGTGCTGGAGATGCTGTTCCTGAAGGGGGAGACCATTCATGATTTAGGTGGCGATTACTGGCCACCACAGTAACATGAAAAGGCCTGGGAGATGCAGAGATGATTGACTCCCGTTCCTTTGATAACAAGCTAGGGGGGGGGGGGGGGGGTCCTTGGGGGCATGCTCTTAACACCCTCCCACCCCCCCCACCCCCCCGTTTTCCAGATTTAACCATGCAGCTGGTGGAAACGTGTTGACTGGAATCTCGCTATACAATGAAGACAGCTCTGGGGAGGGGGGGGGGAATTGTCTGTGAAATGCGGAGCCCGTGTTTGTTTGACGCCGTGTGAGGATGTGAGGATGTGTAATAACTTGTTAGCGAAGCGATTAGCTTCTAATCATGCGAAGGTCAGAGCCTCTCCATGCTGTGGGATTTCTAATTGAGCTGTTTGCGATCATTTCATATCGAGACGGCAACCGTCAGACAAGCAGAAATACCTGTGCCACGCTCCGAGCGGGCCACCCCCCACGACAGCTGCCCCCAAGTAATGTGGGGCGGCTTTAATTCCACCCATCGCCTCAGTAATGACTTCTTTTGTGATGAGCCTTGGAGTTTAGGATACTGGAGAAAATCCTTTATCTGGAACCTGAGCCAGTGTGCGGGGGAGTCAGTCATGTCCAGCAATCAGGGGTGTCTGAGCCTCCCCAGGCATCGTCAGAAAGCCATCGGCCTTCTTCCCGCTTCACATTCAGCCATGCAGTAAAGGGCGTGGCCTGTCCTTTTGTGTGACCTTTGACCCCCAGCATGGCACAGCATGCAGGTAGCTATTCTGCCTTGATTGTCGGCCAAGCTCTGTCATGCCAGTCTTATTTTCCAGGCAGCGGCTGGAGCTGGAGTACCCCCCCCGCCTCCGCCCCCTGGTGGCTTGGCCCCACCCCCGCCTCCGCCCCCACCTCCACCACCCCCCGGGGGTTGTCCTCCTCCACCACCGCCGCCCCCCATGCCTGCTGGGATCCCTCCTCCTCCTCCGCCTCCACCAGGCTGCGGGCCGCCGCCTCCTCCACCTCCGCCTGGGGGAGGACCCCCTCCTCCACCCCCTTTTGGAGGTCCTGGAATTCCACCACCTTTGGCTCCAGCCGTCGTCAAGCTACCTTACGGGCTGCTGCCCAAGAAGACCTACAAGCCGGAGGCGGTGATGAAGAGGGTCAACTGGTCCAAGGTACGTCAACCCAGCAGGACCGCGGCTATGGGGGGGTCCGTATGATTCAAGTTTCTACCTGTGGGGGTGAATGGGGGGGGGCTTTTACAGATGGCAGGTCGGCTCACACTGCTCTTTACATTTACATTTGCTTGTTTTGCATCGCGCTGCGGTTGCAGTGCGGATGTGCATCTCCATCACTCAGCCCGACGCGATACGCAGAGTAAGATTTTCCTTTCATAGTGTGACTGAAGTGTTTACCGTGCACATGACAAACCCTCGCATCTCGAGTCTTGAGCAGGGCTGCCCAGGGCAAAATGGCAGGAGACTGCATGCGAATTTGCAGGCTGTTCCAGGGGGCCTGTCCATCGCTCCCGCTGATAGACGCCTCGCTTTGGAATTCTGCCGGTGTATTTCTCTCGTTTAAATGCAAGTTTCTCCTTAAATGCACATGCATTGGCCAGCATTTGTTGTCAGCATGCAGTGACAGAATGACCCCCCCCCCCCCCCCCCAACCAGGGGGCGGGGGGGGGGGGGGGGGGGGGGGGGGGGGTCGTGGCGGCTGGGATGCCTAGAGTGCTGTGAAACCTTGAGGCCGGCCACCCACGTCTCACGGCCGGTGCCCATCTGCTCCACGCCTCGCCCGCCCGGGGCCACCTTATTTACGGCATGAAAGCTTGCTGAGCCCTCAGGGTCAGCAACAACTGCGTGTGTGCATACACATACATTCTGTCTGCAGGGGGCGCCATATGGCTGTCCTCTAATGAGCGCGGAAGCGTTAATGTCTACGGCAGGTGTAGCACATGGCGGAGGAGGTGGCCAGCATGAGGCGCTGTGCTCGTCAGCCTGTAATGGCTGTCGAGGCTGCAGCCTCGGAGGTGTGGTAATGTAATCCCTCCCACAGCCCAGGACACTAGCGCCGGGGGATGCAGTATATTTCGGGGGGGGGTTAAATCAGCACAATTTTTTTTGGGAGCTGTTTGAAACTGCACCCCCCCCCCCCCCCCCCCCTATCCATTGCTCCCTTCTGTTCCTTCTACTCCAAAGAAATGAATGAACCAGAAGAACTCTCTTTTTGGGGCCGTAATCCTTCTGTTAATTGCTTGGAGGCCTGCCCTCCATCTGGAACGCCTGCTTTACACGGTTACACAGTTCACAAAGCTATTTGGAGATGATCCGGGGGGGGGAGTCCGTTCCCTGTTGTCCGCAGAGAGCCTGTGGTGATGAGATGGGATGTCATGGTACAAGCTGAGGGGTGTCTTGTGTGCATGTTTGTGTGGGTCTGTGTGTGTGTGTGTGTGTGTGTGTCTGGGTGTCTTTGG